ACTTTATATGATATTACCATTTTGTGTAGATGTAATCTTTCATACAATATCAAGCCTATTAAGTAACTTGCGAGTAACGGTTATCGAGCTCTAAATAGTTATAAATGGTGTACAAAACACCATTATAATAGCAACTATTTATATGCTAGTTGATATCTACGCAGGAAATATTGACAAAGACTTTAAATTTGTAAAATAAATTTGTTGTAAAATTTCTTAAGATGACATTGTTTTTGAATCACGTATTAATAGCTATGTTTTTGGTCGAGATTTTAATTTTAGACATCAATTGCCACAGGGTAAGCTTATATTAAATTTATTAGTTAATCACTATGCCATTACAGTTGATAAAACGCTTTGGACTAAACAATAGTTTCACATATGTTAGCAATGTCATCTATATGTCAATACTACATGATGTGTTTGTCATCAAATCATTAATTCTGCATTTCTGCTTGAGTTTTGATATTATCTTACCAAGCATTACCAACTGTACTACTACAAATAGTAATAACAAATAACATGCATCAAGCAAATAAGCTAAGTGTTTGCAGTCTGGTGTCATTTAAACAAACTAAACCAATTGCTTAGTTCGGCAATGTTAACTTAAAGATATTGTACAAGCAACTGCTTCATAGCAGAACATAAAGCAGATATTGATACTTATTTTCAACTCATTAATTCAATGTATCTAACAGGCTATGTTTACTTGCATCTCACAAAGAAGGTTAGGGTCAAGGTCAGGATTAAGTTAGAGCTAGGTTAAAATATGGTTATATTACTGTAACTTATAGTAATATAACCATATTTTAACCTAGCTCTAACTTAATCCTGACTAATTACTAACAGTAAGTAATCATTTTTGTAAATAGACAATTAAAAATATAAAATATAATATATAGTAATTAAATAAAAATAAAAAATAAAATTATAAAAAACATATTTTTATAACAAAATTTAAAAAATGCATAAATAAAAATAGATAAAATAAAAGTATAAAATAAAAAGATATACTAAAAAAATAGTAAAAAAAGTTATTTAAGTGAATAAAATAAAAATGTCCCCGTAAACACTATAAATATCTACACACTCATATATACAAATTTAATATATCATTAACTATATTAAATTTGTATTTATGTGTAACGATATTAAACAAAATAATTTACCAGCTGCTCTTCAGGTGCAGAGGTCAACTGATGTGTTTTGTAACTTATGATATGATATGATACAATATCATTATTGATAGTTATGTTGTAAGTATAATTATTTTATAAAACATCTATAAAAGTACCTGACATGAGGTCCAATTCCATGATGACTTTGGATCTAATGCTAGTCTGTAAAAAACTGTATAGCCTTGAACTGTTAGATTACCATCAATTGTGACATTTACAGGTGTCCAGCTTGTATTTATTGAGTCATATGAAATGGCTGTAGCATTAAAAACTATTGGAGAAGGTGGCACTGAAAATAAATTTAAAGATAATTATAAACTAATTTACAAAAACAGTTAAATATTTTTCACATACACACCCACATATATAATATTATATATGTGTGTGTATGTGTGTGTGTGTATCAGGATCCAGCATTTTTTGATGTTTGAGATAAGTAACTTCCAGACATGGAACAAGCTGCAAACATTTATATGTTTATACTTAAGTCAAAGGAACAAAAAAGCCAAAAAATTTTAATCACAACTGCCCCAAACAAGAGAGTAACAAGTTGATAAAATATTTTATCTATTATTCTTTATATATTTATAACATCACATGCATTGATCTCTTAGTGTTTAAAAATTATGACTAAAAATTTTGTAACCCCCTCTAATTGAGGGGGTTACAATTTTTTTAGTCAATTTTTAAACACTAAGAGACTATAGCATGAAATTTAAATATTATCAATTAAAATAAATTTATTATAGAATAGTACATAAAATAATTTATCAACTTGTTGCTCTTACATTTAGGGCAGTTGTGGCCAAAAGTTTGGGGCTTTTTTGTATATATATATATATATATATATATATATATATATATATATATATATATATATATATATATATATATATATATATATATATATATATATATATATATATATATATATATATATATATATATATATATATATATATATATATATATATATATATATATATATATATATATATCATGCTAAGTTTTAAATGAAGCAAAGTTATATGAAAATTTTAAAAATAATAATTCTATTAAGTAAAAATAATTATGTTAGATTCAACACCCTAACAAATGAAGTTTATCAACTGAAATAGGAAAATATGAATTTTTACAGCAATTTTATATGTAAAACTTGAAAATAAAATCCAATACAAACCTACCTATAGATATATAAAAGCTAGAAACTTCTTTTTAAAAATGTTTGTAAAAATTTCTTAAAAAATTATTAATCTAATCTTATTACTAATTATAAAAATGACTTAAAACAATGATGAAAAATATTTACAAAAATAACAGAAAACCTGCTTAAGTATCCTACCAAAAGTTAATAAACTAAACAACATATATGTGAACAAAATAAAATAGTAAACTATTTTAATAAATAATTTACTAATTTTGAAAGTAAATTTGATAATAGAACTCCTTCAACTGATATTTTCATTTCGTGATATTATAAAATCTACCAATAATTAACTTTTTCAACATGATTTATTGCTAGATTAATCAATTAAAGAGATTGAAAGAGCCTTCAAATCTTTAAAAAGAAACAAAGCAATCGATGTGAATGGATTTACTGAAAACAAAACTATAGATTGTTACGAAAACTTGAATGATATTTATCTAAAGAAAAAAATATTTTAAAGTTTTCAAAGCATCCATAGCATCCATACAACAATGGTTTTTTGTTGAGCAACTAAGAATTACCAGAGTTATTGCAATTCATAAATATACAAAGACTGATTGAAATAATAAAGCTTCGGATCTAATGAGCATGGTGTTTGCTGACAATACAAATTTAATTTTGTCAGACCTTAGGTAAACTTTTTTTAAATTTTAATAAGGAACTTGTACAAATTTCTACTTAGTTCAATTGCAATAAATTAACCTTATTAACAAAACAAAATAGATTTATATATATATATATATATATATATATATATATATATATATATATATATAAATATAAATATATATATATATATATATATATACATATATATATATATATATATATATATATATATATATATATATATATATATATATATATATATATATATATATATATATATAGCTCTTTACAATTATATAGCTCTGATATCACTCATTGAGCTGAATATATACTTAAAGAAAAATTAAACTTTAATAACTGTTAACTGATTTTTTTCAAATTTGGCACGCCTACCTAAGTTTATTCTTATCATGGATCCTCATTCATTTTTTTAAATTAAAATAGTAGTTTTTCTTAAAATAAGATTTTTTTCTTTTAAACATCTTTCCTTCCAACAACTCTCCAAGCAACCATTATTTGAGTTAGCAGTTATTAAAAGAAAAAAGATAAAGTTTAAAAAGCAAAATAATGATGTTAATTATTATCTTAATATATCGACTTAATATATCACAAATAAAATGAATCAGGAAAATAAGATAAAGGGAGCGAATTCTAAATAACTGATGTTTGATTTTTGAAGCATTTAGAAACAGTCACAGAAAAAGGATGAGACTTTATTGAATGATGAGTAACATAAGAATGGATTTTAGTAGATGTTCCAAGAGATGCTAGCTCTTTAGAGCAACGCCCATTATAGTATTTATAGAAAAGAGAAAGAGAAGCAAGATAACGACGGGACAATAGTTGAAAGTCAGGGAAAGAGTCCCAGTCAGCTTTAAGTTAGTTGCAAGAGATTAGGGAGATTCTGATGATGAAGAAGAATGAAATAATCATAGACACCTAATGGTAAATGTGGAGAAACTGAGCACTAACTATAGAACAAAGAGAAAGGCAATAGAGTGAAGTGGTGCTAAACAAAAACACATGAAGGATAATCTATAGATTAAAACCTAGTTTCCCGACAAATCGATTGCAACCAGCAGAAAAACTCCTTACAAGTTTAAAGGTACATTGAAATATTTGTAAGTAGATTTTACTCACTCTTAAATCTTGAAACCTACCAGTAGCATAGCGAAAAAGAGACTTACTCTACGCAGTTTATGCTTTAAGATCTCTCTACTAATTAGGGTCCACACGAACATCTTTTAAATTTTCAAAAAAGATTATCATCTAAGTCCTTAATTACTTTATGGCTTTTTGATCCGGGACCTGTTTTATAACAGAAAAAAATGAGATGCAGAGTTAAAATAAAGATTATGTAAACAAGGTTGAGCTCATTGAAGCAAACCTTTAATAAATAAAAGAGTTTAGATTCAGTCAGCATTATTTTACTTTGATTTCTTGCAATAATAAAAAGATGTTTGCTCCCAAAAGTTTTTTTTGAAAAAAATGATGTTAGGTTACGGGTCGTCCATAAATTACGTCACGCAGTTTTTGACCCCCTTCCACCTCCTCGTCACAAAACCGTTATGCTTTATGAGTCGCCACAAAACCACCAACCTCCTCCACCCTTATAGGGTGACATAATTTATGGACGAACTCTTAAACAGTTAGAAGGGTACCTTCACGTCCGTACTACCTTGATAAACATAAACAAGGAGATAAAACCCTTAGAAGGAAGTTTACATAAAAGTCATATAAGAAAGGCGATATAAGAAAAATTTAAAGTGGTGAAAAATAAAAAAATATTAAGTAATTAGTTATATATTTACATAAAAAGATTTTGTAAACAATCGATTTCAAAGAGTAAACTTTGGTGTAAAACGTTTTAATAAATTGCGAATATTAGCGTTTTTTAGTGTAATTTTTTAAAATTCAACATCAAATTAGAGAGCTTTCCTTTGGTATATATTTTTGTATGAAATATGATCAACGTAAAATTCTTTATCATAATCAATAATAAAAATAGGGAGTAGAGATGTTAATTAGCACCAAAAATTGTACAAGTACTTTTATTAGGCACTTTAATTATTAGCGCGTAATATCGATATTATCTTAATAGCACGTAATATCGATAATCCATAAAACACGGCTAAATAAAAAAGATGTGAGGTTTTATGCAGACAAAAAAGTTTGAGGTGTATGTTCTTCCATCGTGCAACTGATGACTTAAAATACAATATTTTTTATTTTTTGCAAAAAGTAGAACCACAGCTTATAAAATATATTTTTACATGAATTTCAAAAACCACTCTAAAGAAGAAGCATTTTATTAGTGTTTACAAAACTTAAATATGATAATAAAATCTAATTTACTTGACATTTAAGTAAAAAAGTATTTTTATATGCAATATTAAAATATTATACCAACTTTTTTTTTTTTTCACAAAAATTTTCTTTATTTTATATTGATATTATATTCTTAGTTTAGTACCAAAAATATTTTATTGAGATTTTTATTTTTAAAGATAATTTGAATCAAAAGTTAAGGTAATTTTATAACCTAAATATTTTTGAAGGTGTTTAGTGTTTTTTTGATTTAACAAAAAAATCGATTATAGCATTATATTACCCTAATAATGTGCATGTTTTTTAATGGTAAGCGTTGATCACACAAAAAATATACCTCCCACCAATTAGTAAACTTTAGTTTTTAAAATCAGTTTATTGTTTTAGAAAACCAATTTTGCATTACCATTAAATAAATTTTTTTATAAAAGTACTGTCACAGATTTATTATGTCAAATGTGAGTTGTTTCCTATTCATTAAAAACCCATTTACTTTAGTTTATATTGATATTATATTCTTAGTTTTGAATAATAACGGTCTTGTTTATTGTTACTTTTGTAAATAAACGGAAACGTTGATGCGATTCTTAAAAACGTTAAATCGCTAAAAACATCAAAAGTCATACAAAAAAAATCTTAAACTTTGTGGTTTACAAGTTGAATAAGTTTTCAACTAATAAAAGTTAAAGTGCCTACTTTTATAATATAAAAGTATTTGTAAAAGAATAGTTCACTGAATTATTCTGAATATATTGAGACAGATATAAATTATCATCTGTCTGATCTAATACCTCCCCTTTATAAATGGTTCAGCATAAGATGATATGATCAAAGGTATTAAATGATAGAAATTTTACCAGTATAAACTAATCAATAATTAGTTGATAGTTAATATAATTTCTGATCTAAAATCTAATTAAATTAGTGATATAATTATGTAACAATAGTCTAAATTATCACCTCTCTTAAGTAAAGTACTAAACTTTCGTCTGAATCATCTTCCTCCTATTTAATCATTAAATAAAATATGTTGTGACAATGGTAATAAGTGATGTGATAAAAAAGTATTCAAATATAAACTATTAGTTATATATAGTATATAACTAATAGTTTATAGTTGTTATTAGTTAAATATATTATATTTAATTGAAAAAACTTTATAAATCCATTAATAAGTTTCTGAATTATACCTTCCCCTAGTAAATCACTCAATGTAAGATGGCATGATAATAGTATTAAGTGATTGAAATCATGCCACTATATATTAATTAGGTATAAAATTATGTAAAAATGATTTACAAATATACTAATGTTATCACAACCTCTTTAGTAAATAATGCAATATGAGATGTATGATACTAGTATCAAATGATAGTGATAAAAATGATATATGTTATTATATTATACTGTAATTAGAATTTTTGATATTTATATCGTAACACTTTTCTATTACTTGATGCATGGGCTTTATCTAGGGACTTTATCTAGAATACTTCTAGTGCGTCCGTAGATGTACCCAAAAATACAAAAATAAAATTTAATTTAAAAAAAAAGTTGGTATAATATTTTTATATTGCATATAAAAATACTTTTTTACTTAAATGTCAAGCAAATTAGATTTTATTATCATATTTAAGTTTTGTAAACATTAATAAAATGCTTCTTCTTTAGAGTGGTTTTTGAAATTCATGTAAAAATATATTTCTCAACTGAAAGTCAAAGTAAAAGTAAATAAATAATATTTAATTAGATGAATTAATGGATGTCCTCAATATTATTATATTAAATGATTGAAAATGTTTTTAAATTTTTATTTGGTAGAGCAAGTTATTAATTTCTTTACTAATAACAGTTTTTGACGCCCCCAATGTAGTACACCTTAATTAAAATTAATTAAAATCTGAAGTTTTATTTTCAATATTTAATTTTTAAGTATTTGACTTTATTTATATAAAAAACACTGTCGGACATCCTTTAACAAATACACCCTGAATTATATAATGTTTATTGATGATATTTAAAATTTCAGTTTTTTCTTAGGAAATTCCAGAGGGGATTGAAATGATGGTGTTGGAGCAATTGATGGTCACACTAAAGGTTTGTCCTCTTGTATTTGAAATCTGAAAAAAAAAGCTACATATGCTCATTGCAACAGTTATAAGCTTAATTTAGCTATATGTGCTATCTCTTTTGATCTGCATAAACTAATATTGATTCTTTTATATTTTAATTAAATTTACGTATTTGTCATGACAACAATAATTTATGTTATACTTAAAGTAAAATTAAGGTTATAATAATTTTTTGTTTGCTTTTAGATCTCTTCTTTTTACATCTTTTGTTAAGAAAACCTCTTAGAAAAAATTGAATATTCTTTTTTTCGAGGAGCATTATAAATTATATTTATAGCCTTTTAAAAGTTAATTACGTTAAATCATAAATTTTATAACTAATTATTGTTAAACAGATGTTTTAAATAAGAATGTAATTTAAAAATGCGTAAAAGAAAAACCATAAAGTCAAAACTTTTAAGATATATAAAGCTCAATTAATAAATAGCCCATTTGTTAAATAGCAATTGTGGGCATTTCATAGTGACAATAAGCCCTTTAAAACCTCATTTAAAGGGCCTATTGTCACTATGAAATTTCCACAATGATAATGCAAAATTTTGAACTTAAGACTCTTACCGTTACTCCTAATTCATGGTTAACTTTGTCACATTCGGTTGTATTAATTATTTATCAAATCCATATTAAGTAACAAATTCAGGCAAGCATTAACTTCAGAAAAAAAAAAGATAAAAATTTGGTTCTTTCCTTTTGCTAAATCTCATGAAATATTGGATTAATAACTATACTAATTATATTTTTACTATTATTCAATACCAGTATCATATATCTCATATTGCACGATTCATTATAGGAGTTGTGATATGTGGTAGATTATTCCATTTGGCTGATTTATTCCATTCCACTGCGTATTACTCGCATTTATTTGATTCATGCGAATGAAAAATTCTTAAACGACTTTAAATAACCATTATTTTCATAACATAAATATGAAAACAAAACAAAAAATAGATACAAAATTATTTCAAGGCCAAAAATTAGGACTTTGGAGTTGGTCTTGGCCTTGAAAATTTTTGCTTCGGCTATGATTGTTTTGGTGATGGTCTTCAAAATAAATTAAAATTTTCATTCTTTATTTTTATGTACTTTCGTTTTCGGCTTTCATATATATTTACAAGTCTACTTTTTTTATTGACTTTGTTGAATTCTGCGCATAACCTTGGTTTATTTTTAAAAAATTTGGTTTTATTGTCACAGCAATTGTCACCTACAGTTTTGTTAATAATTGGTCTTAACGTAAGGCAACAATTTAGGTCTTTGGTCTTGAAAATGTTTGCGTAGGACTTGCCCTTGAAACTCTTACTCTCGGCCTTGACCTTAAAACGCTTGGCCTAGTCCTTGGCCTTGTAACTTTTAGCCTTGGTCAAGGTCTTGCCTTCGTAACATGTGGTCTTGGCCTTGGCCTTGCTACTTTTGGCCTTTTTAACAACTCTGCGCAACAGGATGGAATAAGTCAGGCTGATGGAACTGCCACAGTTACCTTCGGTAATTCAAAATGAGTTCCTTTTAGAAATGATATTTTATACATTATTTTTAGACGTAAGTTTTCGCTATCAATAATAACAAGTGGTTTAAACTAAACCGTTTCAATTATAGAATGTTAGTTAAAACTCTAATAATACTCTATAGGCACTTTAATAAGCGATATTGTGCAGAAATTGAATAAGAACAGATGATTAAAATTTTATTTAAATCTGGTTTGAAGTAAAGTATAATTAGATATAGATGCGGCTACATTTTCAGTAACTGGTTTTATTTATTGGTTCATACAGCTCTGTTATTTATTGGTTCATACAGCTCTGTTATTTATTGGTTCATACAGCTCTGTTATCTGTTTTCTGAACAATTTTACTAAAGTGCAGATTTTTTTCATAGAAGTTACAATGAATATAAACAAAAAAAGAGAACAAAACTGGTAAGTCATATAGGTAATGCATAATTAAAGATGATTATAAAAGAAAACATGCAAATGATATGTATATATGATATATATGTATCTATGTATGATATAATCATATAAAAGTATGTCTGGCACAGCCAATGGTACACAACAAAAATAATCTGATCTTCTTAATTGCTTAGTTTTATTTATATCATGCCAGGCCCATAGGATTAATACATTCTTTGAACCCCGATCCAAGTATTATAATTAAGTAAGATTTATTTTCAGCGTTAGAGTAATAATTTTTTTCTTCCAGTACAAAAAGGCATTTACTTAAAAGTTTATCATTGATTATAAATTTTGTACATCTTTGTAAATTATCTAAAATAATATGAATAGCACAAGCCGAATCAATAAAACCTGTTCCCGGGTTTTATTAGTATCAACTATAAATTTCGTTGTAGAAACGTCAATTGACCGATATTTATATAAAAATACTAGAACTCAAGCTTTAGGATTATTTAAAAAAATGCTGCCATTAGAACTCTTTGTATCTTTTTATTTTATGAAAAATATCATGTGCAATATAAAAATTAGCCTAAAGATCTTAACATAATTGATGCTCTTATGTTGCTAAACAGCTAAACTGAGATTTTTTACAGTATTAATGTTGACAACCTGACTTTTACAAAAAACATTGATTCTAATCGATATTTTCAGAAGATATTTAATTTTCATAAATTTTATAGATCAGAATTCAAAAAATAGATACTCTAGTTTTATTATCTTCTGAACATTTGATTAAATGCTCAGAAGATAATAAATAAATAATTAAAGAAGATAATAAGAAAAAAGAATAATCCAACTACCGAAATATCGTTAATTTCATTAAAAGCACCGTTAAGCACCAAATACTTTATATAAATCATTATTATAAAATAATTTCCTCCAGGTTGTGACGCATCTTTAATAAATGATTATGATGGAATATATTCTGAGTTTTTAGTTTTGATTCATTATTTTTAAGAGATTTCTAATTTATCAGGATTTTTTAATGTATCAGAAATGCACAAACATTTGCCGATATAAACTAAATATTAAGATTAACGTTTTTTCTTCAACAACCCTTTTTAAATTAATTATGTTCAACATATCTTTGTTATTATTAAGAAGCATTAAGTTTTGTAGTCGATCAACGTGCGTTGTTGATCATAGATTGTTTCACTTTCGCAGTTGTAAAGCAAGAACTTTTCAAAATTGTTATGTATAAAAAACCCATTTAATAGGTAATAATAAAAACACTTTAAAAAAAACAAATTTCGGATTCCGCAGATTTTTATGTATTCCGAAAGTCCTGGATGGTGTACCTATGGGTGCTGTTAACGTCTCTTATTGACGCCTTTTTTTTTGCTCTGGTTTAAGAAATACCTACTTCCCAGTGGGAGATGAGCTACCCTGCAGACATAAAACGTGTTAAATACGTCTAAAACAAGTATAAATACGTAATTTATACACGTTTTGTGCCACATGTAGCAACTAACTAACTATTCGCTAGCTTATTGCTAGCCCGGATTATTTGTTTAAGAAAAAAACAACGTTTTTTGACGTCATAAATAAGAAGTTTTAACTGAGAATTAATTATTATTGCAAATGTTCATTTGATTCTTTCGTAATCAGCATTGCTATACTAGAACAACGAAGTTTAATTTTTTTTTACTCATGCCAGCCTTCCTGCTACATATACGTGTTCGCACCAACCCTGCTTTTAAGGCTATAACTTCTAAACCGTCGTACTAGGAACCCTGAAGTTTTAAATTTAACCTAAACAATGAACATAACTATATGCAAAAATCAGGATATTCTGAGATGAAATCAAAGAGGTTAAGTAAATGATTAAGGTTGTTTAGAAAACTCGTTATCAAGACAACTCTCAAAAATGTTAATTATGTTAGTTAAAGATTGAGAAACATTTAAGTGAGCTTTAGTATCAGCAGGGTCAGTGATGCTTGAGTATGTCCGGGAGCAGGTTGGATTATATTTTATCAATATAAAGGTAATTATGAAGATTTCGAACCTAGCCTGAAATAGTTAAAAGAAGTTATTTCTGCAAGCATTATTTCAACATCTTACATCGGAGATTTAAACATACAAAAAGAAAAACCTTATTTAAACGGAAAGCTAGAATTTAAGGTAAACGAACTGTTTTATGGTTGTAGTCACCATTCGTTTATTGAGCTAGCACTGCACAAAAGGTTCAAACAGAACATAAACACACATATAGTAACCTACATATAGTAAATTACGTGTGTACATATAGTAAATTACGTGTGAACTAACAAAGCACCAACAGTTCACTCAGAACACAAACATACAAACAGCAATCTACAAGTGAGAAAACACCGCACCATTAGTTTAGTCAGAACACAAACTTACATATATAATAACCTAACCCAGGACACAAAAACAGCCTCTGCTGTGTATTATGTAACTAATATTACTAAGACATTTTTGTGTTTAACAATAACAGTATAAAGTAAAAGAGACTTTGGTTTACTTTATTTTGCAAATCTTTCAAACATAAAAAAGGAAAAAACTTATTTTTTACTGGTCAAAGAAACCACTTTTAATAATGAAATCTCTTATCTTGTTGAAACTTGTGTTGAGTTGTTCTAGAAACTTGTAATGAGTTGTTGCAAAAACTTGTTGTTGTGTTGACCTAATAGAAAGTCTATTTCAGTCAGACATACCATTTAAGTTACTATGATAGTTGGCAAACTCCATGCTGCTTATTAAATTTAATAAGTCAATGCTGTTGTATATGCAGAAGTTTACCAAAACACACGAACAACATTGACAAGGTTATGAAGTTTTACTACTGCCCAGATTGCAACACCGGGCTGCAATATAAATTATTTACACTGCATGCGTGTATAAGTTTTTTTGAGCGTCTTATTTTATTTTTTTTTCATAAAAGATACAAATCAAAAAATAACAAACAGTGCACTTTTTTTTTTTTTTATGAATAAAAATTGAATATACCAGAGGACAACAAAAAACGGGATTTATTGTTGACTATTCAAAATGTGAAGTTAGACGGCAGTAATATTGCTGAAAAAACATTTTCGAATGAAAATGTGGGGAATCGTTAACTTTAATCAAGAGTAATATTGCTGAAAAAACATTTTCAAATGAAAATGTAAATGCTGAAATTACAAAAATAAATAAAAGGCTAATTGTAAAGTTGTACATAATTCTAATTTATGTGAATTTGAAATAAATATCAGCAAGTCTTGTATATATTATTTGGAAGGTACAATTATTGTTAAATTGGAAACTCATGCTAAACTAAATTATAGCAATTCTACCCAGCCGGGATTCGGTCCTAAAAAGATGTCTTTTGAACGTTCAAAAGACGTCCTTTTAGAAGCAAAGACCGACTGGGTAATAACAAAAACCACTTCGAAAGCGCTTAACTTGTGCTTGTACCATTAGAGTTATACGCCTCAGAGTCTTAGCAAGATCATAATTTGAGTAATAGAAATTTTATTACTTTCAATCTATAAATTAAGATCTTGTGAATTAAAAGTAAACTAAAAGTTTTGCTTTCTTTAAGTTAAAGTTAAGATAGTTGCACATAAAAAAAAAGTTAAACGTGATAGTTGCACATAAAAAAAAAGTTAAACGTGATAGTTGCACATAAAAAAAAAGTTAAACGTGATAGTTGCACATAAAAAAAAAGTTAAACGTGATAGTTGCACATAAAAAAAAAGTTAAACGTGATAGTTGCACATAAAAAAAAAGTTAAACGTGATAGTTGCACATAAAAAAAAAGTTAAACGTGATAGTTGCACATAAAAAAAAAGTTAAACGTGATAGTTGCACATAAAAAAAAAGTTAAACGTGATAGTTGCACATAAAAAAAAAGTTAAACGTGATAGTTGCACATAAAAAAAAAGTTAAACGTGATAGTTGCACATAAAAAAAAAGTTAAACGTGATAGTTGCACATAAAAAAAAAGTTAAACGTGATAGTTGCACATAAAAAAAAAGTTAAACGTGATAGTTGCACATAAAAAAAAAGTTAAACGTGATAGTTGCACATAAAAAAAAAGTTAAACGTGATAGTTGCAC